TAATTCAAAATTCTTTTGTCTGTTGTATTTTGATTTCGATAAAATTTCTTATTCTCAGGCTGCTAACGTACATAGTAACACGTTAGTCGATGAGCTCCATAGCTGAATAAACGAAAAGATGAAAGAAATTTACTGGATGGAAGGAAAGAAGGGAGAGTGGAAGAAAGGAAGCGAGCGCAGGAGGACAGAAGGAAGGAAAGAGCGAAGTAAGGAAGAGACAGGGAAGAAATGTATATGAACCTAGGAGAATGAAATGAAGTGAAAAGGGAAAAGAGGGGGGTGTGGATGAATGGAAGGGAAGAACGAAACGAAGCGAGGTACCAATGAGGGAGCTATTAATGTACCTGGTCCAATAAAGAAGAAGAGAACAAGAACCATGGTTGCAATGACTGCAACATATTCAGTACCCTCCAACGTCTATTAAAATACAATAACATCAATAGAAGAAAACAAGTATAGYTGATAGTGATCTTGTGTCAAGATACGTACGTTGTAACGAAATGCTATGGTCATCACTGCGTAGAAAACAAACATACCACCCAAGCCATAAAGCATCAATGTACGTCGGCCAAGAACCTCAACTAATTTAACCTGAATTATCCAACAAAATGAAATCACACATCAATAAATTAATACTTGGTGAAAATGTATATGATGTAAGTCAACGATAGTGTCTCCATTTAACCAAATTACTAAATAACAGTTGATTTGATTTAGCGTACAATATTGTGATAAAACTTGGATTTCACAGTGAAAGTTTCCTTGATTAACCTCACTCCAACAAAAAAATAATCAACAATAATTAATCAACAGTATCATTTATCCTTTTTTGAAAACTATTCTACAAACAAGCTCACTTTAGTTTAATGATAGTTATTTCTTGTTATAATCAAGACAATTTGACAACAGGGCGTTAGGTGTTACGTACGGTGAGTCCAGTGCAAACAAGGCCAACGATTCCAATACCACAGGTCGCAACACGACTTTCAGGGACACCAACTTGTTCAAATATTGACGTTGAATAATAAAATACCTGATAAAACAAAAACAGAATAATGAGAATAGTAACAGAGAGAGTAGGATCAACAATAATAATAATAATAACAACAACAACAACATCAACAGCAACAGCAACGACAATAACAACAACAACAACAACAACAATAACAGCAACAACAGCAACATCGACAACAACAGCAACATCGACAACAACTACAGCTAAAGCAAAACTGAAGCAACAACAAAATAACAATACCACATCGACAGCAAAAACAACAGCAGTAAATAGCAAAAACAAATAATAGAACAACAAAAAGCAACAACAACGCCCCTACAACAAAACAATGAACAACAGCAACAACAACGCCCCTACAACAAAACAATGAACAACAGCAACAACAACGCCCCTACAACAAAACAATGAACAACAGCAACATCGACGGTTTCACATCGACATCTACATAGTTCCAGCACTCAGCACTGTTCATATGATTACTAGCTGTATATAGTATGAGGTCTCATTGACTAGTAATCTTAATACAAACAATCTGCTAAGCTGATCTCAATGAGATGAGCCCTGGCCACACCACCAGGAACTCCGTGCCCTACTCTTAGTCGAATAGTGGTGTGGGTTCTTTAACTTCCCTCTGCTGCTAATGAGAAGTGTAGAGAGACGGGACCTCCGGCTTTACGTCCTTTTTCGAGAAGACAAGACACTGAGAGAGTAAAGTGTCTTGCCCAAGAAATACAAACATTGGGAATACTAACATTAAAGGGACACTGTCAATGGATGACATGCGCGAGTAAACTTGAAAACATTAGGCTAGTGTTTTCAAGTTTACGACTACAAGTTGGCGCGACGCATGACAAAAAAGTACTCGTAAACGTAAACAGATCTAGAATATTCCAAAGTGTGTCAAAACATTGATTTACCTCGAAGGTAATATTTTCAAAGTCCGTTAGAGACAAGACTGTTACTGCGCATGTCATCCATTGACAGTGTCCCTTTAATATTACCAACAGCATTATATACACAAGAACACAAGTGCAAAATATCTCACTGCATTTATGCCTCCAAGTTGTTGTGACATTTGCATCACAATTCCTATGAAAAGYGGCATCTGCAGGTCTCGTCGCTTGAATAATTGAATGACTTTGACTTTTTCTGTATGGCTCTCTGCTTCTTGTTCAATCTAAACCAGAAGAGGAAAGGAAATCTCATTGAACACTACAATAACAGTAGCTATGACAGTTTTTGYTTGACGATTTCTTACCTTCATTTCTTCAATATCATTATCAACGTTTTCTGCATCTCTAAGCTTTCTTAGGGCTAAAAGAAAAAAAATCTTTACTATACAAATTTGAAGAACATCATTTAAATTTGTATAGTACTGTTGTTGTGAAATAAATGATATGAATGCCCTTTGTGTAAGGCTTTATTCAGCTTAACAACTCTTGCTACATGTCAAAGGATTTGACATGTAGCGGTCACATAATCATATAGTAGAATGTATCTGATGAAAATCCTAGTTCTCAATAAATAACTTAAATCAAAATGATTGGAAAGTCACTTGTATACAATGTTTAATAGGTAGTTTAACTGGACAACAAAACAATACATTCTACTGTAGGCCCTGAGGCAGGCAAAAAACCTTTGTTTAGTCCTCCAGATGAATCTGATTTGACGTCAAATGCAAGGGGTCTATACTTCATCATATTATCACCTTCTATCGCTTCATCAGACTTGTTTAGCTCAAGCAGCAAATAACGTGGACTCTTTGGACACCACGGCAGTGTTACTAGTTGAATAACGGCTGGAACAATGCTGAAACCTAACAGATATGGCCAGCCTTCGCCGGACCCAAGTAACTGAAATAAAAATAGATCATTGAATATTATTAGCAGGAATCAGAGAAAGGGAGTAGGTAGGACGATAGAAAGACTTGTTGTTACGACACAAAATGTGTATTGCTATGAATGAATGCAAGCATGAGAAGTCTGTCATCAAATTTTGAAAAAAGAGAGATGGAAGCAAGCAAGCAATAAGAAGGAAAGATGAATGAWAGCAAGAAAGTGAGAATTAGGAAGAAAGAAGAAATGGAATATGAAAGAGAATGGAAAAAAGAGAACTAAAACAGATGGATGAATGAATGAAAGTATATGTGAATGTTTGAATGGCTGAAAAAATGAGCAAATTATAAATGGATAGATGATGAAATGATAAAATAAATTATTAAGAATATAAAAAGTCTACTACTATATAAGAGTGGTACCTGTTTCAGACCCACTACAAATCCTAGAAGTAAACCTGTWACCACGCCAAACTGGTTTAACGTTCCTAAAGACCCTCTTAAATTAACAGGGGCAATTTCAGACAGGTACATAGGAATGATAGCAGTATTTGCACCTA